GGAATTTTGTAGCTTTCCCTTTCCTGAACTGCAAGGAAGGAAGTCAGCCAGGCCTACCGGCCCAGGAATGTCTTTGTCGAGTGCTTGGTTAGGTCAGTGGTCATGGATGGCTGTACAGTAGGACTGTGGAGGGGGCCTCCTCTTAGCCATCGGCTCTGTGATAGGCACATTCTCTCCTCCTCACAGACTCCCATCCATGCCAGCATGTCCAGGAGTTCATCCTCTGACGAGGCTGGGAGTTTGTCCTCTGACGACCTTCCCTGACAGCTGAGTATCTCTCACCCTCCTCCCTCTGTGCTTCTACCAGGAATCCCACCACTGAGGCCATAGCTGCTTGGTTGGTCCTGCCTTTGTTCCCTGGAATCCCGCCCCCCTCCCCAGGGCTTCCCAAGTTGGAATCCAGGTAGAATAGACACCCAGTCTGCAGACTCTTCATGCACTCTCAAGGGGCCCCTGGTATCCACGGCTCCCAGTCTATGTTGGGAGACAGAAGACAACAGGCTCTTGCGGTAGAGGTGGACTCAACCACTGCCTCCGTCCTCACACCAGCTGATGATGTTGATGGCTGTCCCTCAGCCGGAGCATTTTCTTCAAGCCTCGTGGGCGGAGCTCCCATAATTCGTCAGGGTCTGCAGAGTGTCGCGCACAAGGCCTCTGGTAAAGCTCCTGGACTCCTGGTGTGGAAAACCGGTTCTGTGGATTCCAGTCACATCCCAGAGCTGACGCTGGTGATGACGAAGAACAGAGGGGCCCTTCCCGGCCCATCTGGCATCTGCTGCGCTTTGGATGTGGAGTGTTTCCTCAAGACTCACACATTGAAGGTTTTGCCCCGAGCTGATCAATCTGGTCCTTGAGATATGATCGGATTGTAATGGCTCTGATCTCATTTTTTTCTCATGGATTCATAATTCAATGGCATTTGGGCAAGCTGATGGACACTCACAGGGGTGGGACAGAGTCCGAAATAGACCACTAGAGACATGTCCTTCGAGGCTGTCTCTTGTCCCAGGCCCTTCCTCTGTGTCTCTCTACTTCCTCGATGTCACGTGAACTGCTCTGCCCTGTGCTCCCTGCCATGATACTCGGTCTCATGTCTCACTGTGACCCAGACATGGTAGAGCCGTGTGACCACAGACTAAATGCTCTGAAACTGTGAGCCCAAGCAAGCAAATCCCTCCTTAAGGTGTTTGCTAGCCGTTTCATTGGAGCAATGAGACACAAGCATGATGTTCAGCTAGGGATGGGACTACAGCTAGCCTCGTGTGTGTGTGTGTGCGCGCGTGCGTGTGCATGTGCGTGTGTGTGTGTGTGTGCATGTGCATGCGTGTGCACACACTCGTACAAGTGCTTACATAAAGGAGAGCTGAATTTAGAAGACTGTAGGAAGGAGGGGAGGCAGAGAGACTGTAGTCCCAGCCCACACCATGGTCCCGGGAGCCCAGGAATGCTCAGGATAGACTTCCTGATCACACAGCAAAGCAGTGCCCTGCAGAGAAAGAGCTGCACGATCTTGGGGTGCGGCTAGAAACCATGTGCCAGAGCTAGGGCAGGGCAGTGACAGTGAGGCTTGCCAGGGATGGAAGAATGGGGTTTCTGTACTGCTTATCAGGGCTGAGCTCCAGGGCAGGATGTGGAGGAGGCTTCCCCAGCCTGGCTGGTGGATGGCAGGACTTTGGACAGGAAGCATCGCCTTGGACTTGCTGGTGACACTGGGTTGGTGTCTCCATGCTCACTCCTAGCATAGGTCAGGCTCCTGCCTGCGTATATGGAAGGGTAAATACTAACAGTGGACCACAAGTCAGCCACCAGACTCTGCCTCTGTAGCGGAGAAGAGACACAGGGCCTAGTTTGATCCCTAGGCCAGTGGTTCTCAACTCGAGGGTCACAACCCCTTTGGGGTCGCATATCAGATATTTACATTACAATTCATAACAGTAGCAAAATTACAGTTATGAAGTAGCAAGGGAATAATTTTATGGCTGGGGCCATATGGTTGAGGAACTGTATTAAAGGGCTGCAGCATTAGGAAGGTGGAGAACCTCCATCCTAGGTTGATCTCTTTGGGGGGAAAAATCCTGCAAAAAAAAAAACCTGATCTCTGCAAAAGATCAAGGAAGCTGGCCTCATTTGGCCATGATTTGGGGACTGCTGAATGGAGTTGGATAAAAAGGGGAGGGCAGTGCTGCCCGCGGCTATGGAGAAGACGGTGTGGGGAATCCTGAAACATCGTCAGGGACTTGTTCTTGGGGTTTGTGTCTTCCACGGAAACGTGTGCCCAGAACAAACTGTAGTTGCGTCGTCTATCTTGGCTAGGAATCAGCAAGACTTCTATATAGGTTTCTTTTCTATTGCTGACATAACCCTGACAACTCATCAAAGAAAGTGTTGGTTAGAGTCCTTGACGGCAGAGCGAAGGCATGGTGGTAGGGGCAGCTGAGAGCTCACATCTCAAACCGAAAGCAGGAGGCAGAGAGCACACTGGAAATGGAGCTAGTCTTCTGAAGCCTCAAATCCTGCCCCCCTGTGACACCTCCTCCAAGAAGACCACGCCTCCTGATAGATCCACCAAAAGGAGACCATGTATTCAAACATATGAGTTAACTAAATGGAGTACCTACCAGCTAAATGTTTATAAGCTTGATTCTGGTAAAATTTGTCTTTGTCTAAGAGACTCCCTGAAATGGTCCCAGGATACAGGATCATTGAGCACCCTATGAGATACATGTACAGATATGGTGATGGTGGATGAAGGCAAACATGATGAAGATGAAGATGAGATGAGGCTCCCAAACCAAATGGAGCGATGACGTTTAACACTGAGTGTTATCCTTTGTGCTCTTTGCTGGAGTCTAGACTGGAGGGCCATGGCCAGAGCTGGCCTGGTGGGCTTTCAAGTCAGCAAGTTATGTTTTTATCCTAGAGCCTGGGGCTCAGTGGTCAGTAAGGACCTGATAAGACCCAGCTGCTGGTCTGTAGCCCTCCCTTGTGTCTGTCCAGAGCTGAGGGGGCAAATTCCCATTGCGAGCAAAGCAGATCAATCACTCAGAAAGCCAAGCATGAGGCAACTTTGCCTTTTCCATCTAGACCATCCACAACCCCTTCAGGTCACAGGCCAGCATTGCTAGTTGATTGATTCCCTTGAAGTTCTGTAATTAGAAGGACCCTCCGTGGAGGCACTGCCCGTAGACCTGTCCAACCAAAGGCCAAGTCTTGTCCAGGGAGGTCGTTTCAGATTGCCTTTCTGTTGCCCTCAGTCTGGCCCCGTTCCCTTCTATGACGTCTCTCTCTTCTTTGCAAGTTGCCATGAGGGTTTGTGTACGTGCAACATAAAGTCTAATCGAGTGTGTGCCTCGTCTCCCATGATCAGCTGTGTACTGTCCGTGTGTCTTCCTCGTTCCTATTCTCCCTCTGCTATGATCTAATCTCTGGCTTCTGTACAAAGCTCTCTCTCATAGACAGGCCCCCAGTGTCTGACTGAGGTACACAGCACAGGCCCCTCGTCTCTTGCAGAGGCAGAAGGCCAGAGGCTCTCACAGGGAACACCACCCAAGCCAAGAGAAAGGCAGCAGGGGCTCGTGGGAAACCTGAGCCGGGAGTCACATCAGTGTCACCTTCATTCTGTGTATTTACTTCCTTGTGCTGGTTCTGATGTCCCTTCTGCAGAAAGCGAGACACACCCACCTCTGCACGATAGGAAACAGAAACCCAAGTGCACAGGCCATCTCTCTGTGTTGAGAACTTCTCTGGCATTGTTAGCCTGTCCTGTGACACGATGGTCACTAAAGGTAGATGCCATTATCCTCGTGTTCATGCACTAGACACAGACATGTAAAAGTCCGGGGACTTGTAGAGCAATATGGAGGAACTTGGGCCATCATGAGCTGGAGCTAGCATGGTCTCTGACGCACTATAACGTACTAAAGATAGGACATGACCGGGGACTCGGGGCAGGAGGGCATCAAGGAGGATGTCCTTCCCTCCTATGATGCCAGCTCCATGTGGCCCTCTTTCTTCCTTTACCCACCACAGATCCTAGCATTCATGGAGGGCTTCAGGCCTTGACAGGGCTCCCTTTTTGATGGGCACTTGTCTTAGTCAGGATTTCTATTGCCACAAAGAGACACCATGACCATGGCAAACATGGAAAACATTTCACTGGGGTGGCCCACAGTTTCCGAGGTTCAGTCCATCATGGTCATGGCTGGACATGGTCGCATACAGGCAGACAGGGTGCTGGAGAAGGAACTGAGAGTTCTGCATCTCGATCCGAAGGCAACAAGAAGTGAACTGTGACACTGGACATACATAGATTGAGCATAGGAGACCTCAATACCCACCCCCACAGTGACGCACTTCCTCCAACAAGGCCACACCTCTAAATAGTGCCACTTCCTACGAGGGGTATTTTCTTTCAAACCACCTAGTACCTGATCCAGACAAGATTTTTATATTAGCTTTTTATTTTTTTCAAAATGGGGTTTCTCTGTGTAGCTTTGTAGAGCAGGCTGGCCTTGAACTCACAGAGATCTGCCTGCCTCTGACTCCAGGGTGCTGGGATTAAAGGTGTGCGCCACCACCGCCTGGGTCACACAAGAATTTTTACATGTTATTTCAATTTCTTCTCTGTTGCTATGATTCAAACACCCTGACCAAGAGCAACTTTGGCTTATTTTGGCTTACAAACTACACTCCATCACTGAGAGGAGTCAGGACGGAAAATCAGTCAGGAACTTGAAGCAGAGGCCATGGAGGAACTCTGATTGCTGGCTCCCTCACAGGCTCATGCTCAGCTAGCTTTCTTAGATAACCCAAGACCGTCTGCCCAGGGAATAGCACTGCCCACAGTGGACTGGCCCCTCCTACCCAATTAATAATCAAGAAAGTCCCATGCAGATGTTGCCCACAGGCTAGTCTGACCTGAGCAGTTCCTCTCTAAGATGACTCTGGGCCATGTTAAGTAGTCACAGCTAACTAGGACTTGTGCCTTCTTGTTTTTACAGGAATTTGGCCATTGGAATTGGGATCCAGAATTTCCCAGAGGGCCTGGCTGTCAGCCTCCCTCTGCGCGGAGCAGGCTTCTCTACCTGGAGAGCTTTCTGGTGAGTGTTTCAGCTCACTGGATCAGAAGAGAGTGGGGTGGGCTGGAAACTACTCCATATGGACTCCGTTTTGCAGGGTCAAGCTCACGTTGGAAGCCAATGTGGGGCTTCTGGAAGACAACTGCAAATGTGGGTGACAGTTGTACACATATCGGAGACCCCAAGACACAAGCTCATCTCTTAACCTTTGACCTCTACGGGACTGGTATGAGTAGCTGTGTCCCTTTTCAAAGGCTTCTGTAGAAAGCAGCCCATGGCCATCAGCACTGCCACTTCTCCATACTATGGCTCCTCTAAATGTCACAATATTCATAGCTGGGGATCCTCTTGCCACCACCTGGTTCAGAGAGTCATTACAATAGCTTTTTCTCATATGTCCTCCACTTGGGACATGGGCCTCCCACACTTCCTCCTAAAAAAATCGCTGATCTACAACATGAGGTCACAGCACTCATGCAGACTGCTATAGAGACAATCTTAAAATGTCTTCCATGGTTTAAGGCTCTGTGACTTGCAAGCTTGTACAGGTAATTAAATGATCAAATTTCCACCCTCTACAGATCCCTTTGTCCATTGTTAGAGACCCTCAAATAGAGGATTTGGGAGAGAGGGAGGTGGGTGGCCTTAGAGATTTTCATAACCTACCAGAGCCATAGCTGTTATTCTTAACAGTCGTGGCATCAAGGAGGAAGGAGGGGAGGATTCAGGATTTGTGGTCAGCACCAAAATTGGAAAGTGAAGGTTTGTTCTCTTCCTCAAACTCCAGTCTGGGCTTGATGTCAAAGTTACATTTTCCAGAGACGACAAGGCCACAGGCAGGGATCAGATAAACCAGAGAGAGGGCTGTCTGTCCTGCTGGTCTGTTTGTGGAAACAGAAGGCTCTTAACAGATTCCACAGCAAAAGGAGGGTTTCTCCCAAGCCCACTTCTGCTTCTAGCCAGAGAGTGGTGGGATCTCTTACGAGTTGCCCTCCTGTCTGGGGAGGCTGGATGTAGGCGATGTCCCTCACTCCTATGACACAGACGGAAGATCTGAAGCTCAGAGTCTGTGCATTTTACCTAGGACCCGTGTCCAGAAAGGGGCCCCAACGCCGCTGCTACTGTTGCGCCTGTTCCAGGTGGCTTCCACATGGAGGACTCAGCTTACTTCTTGCCTTTGCAATCCTCAGTGCTCACTCATCTTCACTGCCCTCTTGATCGGAGCTCATCTCTTCCGAAGCAGCAGATAGCTCAAATAAAGGAATTGCTTAAAAGGAGAAATCTCACCTTAAGCACCTTAAGCCAAGATGGTGGCTCTAAGGGTGGGGAGTAGAGAGCATACAGTCAATAAACAAATGTCCAGTAGGCCACCTCTGCTACAGAAGAATACAGTTACAGCCTAACCCCCGGACATGCCTCCCAAAACTGTCCTTGGGATACATCGAGACCATTTCTAATCAGTGTCCTGTCACTCAACAAAGGCATCAAAGATGAGCAGAGAGATGGCATGTTCCTGTGGCTGTACAATGACTGTTATTCATCCTTAAAAAGATACATTCTACATAGGCTGGGACGATAGCCCAGTGGAGAGGAGACTTGCTAGAGAAACATGAGATCAGAGTTTGAATATCCAGCACTCTGTAAAAAGCCAGGTGAGCCCGTGTGTGCCTGCAATGCTGTCACTGGGGATGGTTGGCTCCCTGCGTAGCTTCAGTGAGAAGCCTGTCTCAAGGGAATAAAACAGATAGATCAGGGACCCCACACCTTCTCTGGCTTCCTCATGCACAGGTGCTTGCCTGTGTCATGTGCACACACATACACACATACTCTAAACTTGTCTTTAAAAGAGAAAGATACATGCTACAGCATGGATACGTGTTGAAAACATTATGCTAGTAGAAGTAAGCCACCCTCCTACCCACCCCCCCAAAAATCCATATATGATTCTGTTTATAGGAAATATTCAGAGGCAGCAAACATATGGAGGGAAAAAAGACAGAACAATCCATGGTGACAGGGGCTGGGAGGAGGAAGAAATAGGATATGGCTGTTAATGGCCATTGGCTTCTTTTTAGGACGATAAAGATGTTGGAATTGATGGTGATGTTCACTTAACCTTGTAAATATACTAAAAACAATTGGTTATATGGTAAATGTTACATGAGATGCACATTATGATCCAGTCAAATTGTCATCGTCAAAAGACAATATAGGCAACTTAAAGATTCAAAGGAGATAGGGCGTATGACAGTACCATAACTGCCTCCTAGGCAACTGGTGCTTCTTAGAGCACGGCCAGACAAGATGCCTACAACACATGTCTGTTTTCTAGGGTTAGATCAGCAGTCTGGGCAAGTGGCACATCTGCTTGGCTCCCCCTTTATGGGTCAATGTCTCTCTTCCCTCCTCAGGTATGGTCAGCTGAGCGGCATGGTGGAGCCCTTGGCTGGGGTCTTTGGAGCCTTTGCTGTGGTACTGGCTGAGCCTGTCCTACCCTATGCACTCGCCTTTGCTGCTGGTGCCATGGTCTACGTGGTCATGGACGACATCATCCCCGAAGCCCAGATCAGGTAGAGAGCTTGCCCAGCTGTCAACCCCTGCTTTAGGCCTCATCTGAGATAACCCTACCCACTTTCACATCTGTCCTTTCTTCCTCTCCCTTTCCTTTCTTTATTCCCAAGATTCCTCTGCCCCTTCCCACAACTGTTCCTGCCCCTCCTCTGCTTGCTAAAACTGAAATAAAGAGAAGGAAAGTGATATCACACACTGGCCTAAAACAGGAAGCCCTGGCCCCTTGATGAAATAAATACATGGCCACCTTTAGATGGCCAGCTGATTTGGATGCTGGGACCAGAATTCTGGTCCTCTGTAAGAAAAACAAGTGCTCTTAACTGATGAGCCATCTCCCCAGAGCACCTGTGCTGGCTGGTTTTGCGTCAACTTGACACTAGCTAGAGTCATCAGAGAGGAGGGAGCCTCCGTTGAAGAAATGCCTCCATGAGGTCCAGCTGTAAGGCGTTTTCTCAACTAGTGATCAATGGAGGAGAGCCCAGCCCATGGTGGGTGGTGCCGTAATGGGCTGGTAGTCCTGGGTTCTATAAGAAAGCAGGCTGATTCTAATTTAAATAAAAACACATATGGGGGGGGGGGGAAGCAGACCGAGCAAGCCATGGGGAGGAAGCCAGTAAGCAGCATCCCACCACGGCCTTTGCATCGGCCCCTGCCTCCAGGCTCCTGTCATGACTTCCTTCCGGGATGAACAGCAATGGGGAAGTGTGAGCCGAACGAACCCTTTCCTCCCCAGTTTGCCTTTTGGTCCTGGTGTTTCATCTCAGCAAAAGAACTCCAAACTAAGATACCTCCTGATCGCTACTTTTTGTTATTTGATTGTGAACTGGAGAGCCACAGTCAAATGATTTCCCTGTGTTGGAGACCCAAGAATCACAGAAAATAATGAGACCTTTGAGGGCATTGCTTGGGATTGGGACTGATCATCCAATTGGCCTACGAGAGCCACTAGCCACTGTTGCCACTTTAGTAGGACACTTTCTGTTGTCGTCAGGTAGGGCAGAAGGGGCCATCAGCCTGGACAAGGTCATAGGAAGCGTTGGTTAAGTCTCACCATCTTCCTCTCCTTCTCTTCTAGTGGTAACGGGAAGCTGGCATCCTGGGCCTCCATCCTGGGGTTTGTGGTGATGATGTCCCTGGATGTGGGCCTCGGCTAGCTCCAACAACCTTGGGATCCCAGGAAGGAAAGTGCTGGGCTTCTGCAGGACCATGAGCCTCTCTTCACATTAAAATCCCATTCCTTTCTCTCCTCTCCATATCTTTACAAATCGGTTCTGATTGCACTTTGACTTTTCATTTTGCTTTGGAGGGAGAAGCTGGTTTTCTTTGTAGTCTCAAGGCGTCATAGAACTGTAGATTTGTGTTTGGGCCACTGAGTGGAAGGAATCTTTCTTCGGTGGGATTATCAAGGCCAAGCCTTACTGTCCCACATCCAGTCTCCCTCACTAGACTCAACTCTAGCTCCTCAGGGTCACCTCCAGAAGTCAGCTCTTGGGACACAAGTCCTGAGCATGTTGGCCTAGCGTCTCAGAGCAGGTGGTCAGAGACCCCTGTGCTCTTTCAGTTTGACCCTCCTGACTGCCCAGAATGTTGGGACAGAAGCATCATGAACACAGAAGTCTGCTCTCCAAGGCTGAGGCAGCTCAGGCAGGGTCTGTTTCCTCCAGGGAGGCACGCATGGGAGGGTCTCCACAAAAAGGGAAGGGTGTCAGCTTTCTCTTTTGTCCTAAGGCAATTAGAGAAATTTGGAAATTAGGGTGACTGTGAACACACACAGTGTGCTCTGTGTAAAGCGCTGTGAGTGTGGTTTCGAGCAGAGGCCTCTGCTCTTGGTAGGGTCACAAGAACATTGTACTTAGTCATGGTTCCTAGATCTTCCAGCTATTAATATCTATGTGTTTACATCCATTGTTTTCCTGAGAGACTTGTGGATACTAGCAAATTGCAAGTCCTCAACCCCCTTGTTTACTAATGGAGTTACTTAAGTTAGCTCTAGTGAATGAGTGACCTTTAGAGTCTGCTAGGGCTCTTCCTCTGCAGGCCCAGATGCCCAGTAGGCTATGTTGGAATCTGACCAGAGGGCTTACAATAAGAAAAAAAAGGGATAGGAAGCTGGTAATTTTACATTTCCTTTCTTAGAAAACTTAAAATTCTGAGATGTCCCTGAAGAATGACTGGCCCTAGGCTGTATGCTAACCTGCTCCGCCATCAGCTCTCCCAACACACCCGAGGCCTGAGCCCTCCCTGGTCAGAGGAGTGTGTGGGACTCAGAGTGGACCGTACCTGGGAGCCAGGCATTCCGGTACTGGGTTATCAGTGTCTGCCCTCTGTGTTTATGTGGCCTGTCCCCTCCAAGGGTGAATACTATAGTCTGTGAATGCTCAAGACCCCAGAGGCCAACCTCAGCTGGGCGTACGTCCGTTCTTCTGAAGCACTGGTGATCAAAATTAAAGACTCGTTCAGAGATTTGATTGGTTGAGGCTGGCTTGGTGATTGTGTGTGTTTTATTCTCATGTCTCTGTGTGTAGTTCTGTTACTGCAAATCGTCCTTTCTTCCGGATAAGACCTTGTAACTGTGATTAGTATCAATAAAGGGAATTTTGTTGTGCATGAGCTGTGTTATAGTTGCTCCATAACACTGCTTCGTCCCAGAAGTGGCGATGCCCCCTCTCCCACCGGACACCCTGACACCATCAGGAGTAAAGAGATGCTCACAGCAGAGTGACTAGTCAGCTTAGAGGTGGCAAAAACAAACAAAACAGCATCCAACTCCAACCGACTAAGCAGTCGAGATTGATGGATGGGCGTTAAGAAACTTGAAGGAATTTGTGGAGAATTGGGCTTGGAAACGGGGTGGATCTAAGACAGCTAGATCTGGGCTGTAGTCTCATGGCATTTGGAAAACGGCCCCATTTGATGCTGTGGCCCCTGGTGTTGGTGACTAAATACTAGGCACCTCTATTGAAACTCCCACTCCCTAGTACCTCCAACAGCATCGGGGAATTAGGCTGTATTGGTCCAATCCTTCATATTTTGGTTCCTCCTTCAAGGTTAGGACCTGGAGAGAGAGGTTAAGTTTATCACCCTACTTTTACAGGCACACATACATACATACATACACACACACACACACACACACACACACACACACACACACACACACGCTGGACAAAACATCCATCCATCTAGAACTTTGATCCTGTGCTGGTCTTACCCTGACCAGGTAGGTCTTCATGTCTTCCCTGCCAGGGGACACGCCCCTCTTAAACAGAGAGCCAAAATAAACCCATCCTCTCCACCACCATGGCTTCTTGTCAGGGAGAGGAGAGGGGGAGGTAGTACAGGCCTCAGCCTGCAGGTCTCCCCACTCCTGGTACATGCTGGAGGGTGCAAAGTTAGATGCCAATGGGCCCCAGGAGGGGGGGTGGCCCTTCCCTTTACTTTTACATGGAGGTACGTCATCCATGCAGCAAAGACACAAAAGTTCAGAGAGCATCACACACTTAAATGGATTTTACCTATGCATCCCTGAGACATACCTGTCTGGGTATGGGGGTTGTCATCCCCACTCATAGGCATCCTGGTTCCGAAGATCTGGAATCTCCTTCCTCTGGCTGAGGTTCTGGGTGAGCCCAATCAGGCTGCAGGTGTGAGCAGACTCCACCCTGCCCACCTCAGGCCACGTGATGCAGACTGCCTGCAGGTCCTGCACCTGCACGAGTTCCTAGAGCCCTGCTCTGAACGCCCTTGGCATGGCTGTAAAGGGGCTAAGGGCTGGGTAGAGAAGGCCATGTGCAGGGAAAGCCACATGCATGCCCTTGAACCTGACCACTGGGTGGAAGACAGTGTGTCAACCCCAGCTGTCACCTGCTTGGCTACAATGTCACAGGTGAGATGCCCTGAAGTGACCTCTGGCTTCCCAGGATTCCTGGAGGTCTATTATGCTGTCACTTCCTGCTTGTCTTTCCGAAGGATGAGTCTGGGGAGCCCCAAAGGTACAGAGTGCTCTTTGAGAAAACCATACAGAAATGCCAACAAAAATAAGCTGAGGGCTTAGAAGAAGCCCCCGAGTTCACACTTCTGAGGCTCAAGTGTCATTAGCTTTGGGGAGTCCTGACCCTAGTGCAGGACAGGGCAGGCAGAGGTGTTTAGGAACTCTCAACAAACCTACTTTTCTGACATCTTCTTAGCCAGGTCAGGATAACAGCTAGAGAAAGACTGTGTTTAAAGGTGGGAAGAATGCTGATCAGCACACTCCCCTCACTGCCTTCCCATAGAGGAAGAGGAATCAAGCTTCCCTCCTTCCCATCCTCCCTGATCACCTGGGTAGCCAGAAGTGGCCATAGGGAACAGCCTAGAACCATCTCTGTTCAGCTCGCAGCCTTCATGTTTCTTCCTGGGGACTGCCTCAGGTTCCTCTAGTGGCTTGAAGGTAAAATAGACCCTGTATAGCCTCAGTCTGCCTCTGGAGCTACCACCCAGACCCCCAGAGCCTTAAACAACCTGGGGGGGGCACCTAGGCTACTGCCTTTTGCTCCAGGATAGGTATGATAGGGTTGATGAGCCAAAGGGGCAATTGACTGATGCCAGCCCCTAAGGAATGCAGGTAATTGCATAGGTAAATTTCTGCACGTGTATTCTCGAAAATCTTTGCATCCCATGGTCCCTTGAAAATCCAAACATGAGACTGGAAAACGAGAGGGTCTTTGGAGGTGAAGCCACCACTCCTCAGCACACAGTGAGCCATGGTGTGTGGCCAACTCGGTCCTTTGGAGATACTGAGAAGTCAGGGGGTATTACCTGAGCAGATGCAACCCTTACCTCAGCTTCTCCCATCTTCCCTGTGAGCACAGGGGTGCTGATATGAAAGTGCTTCATTGCAAGTTGCTATTTCCACAGAGACATGCTCGGGATGCTGCAAAGAGGTCTTAATTTTGGTCCCGTGTTTATCTTGGTCCTTTAAAAAAATCAACTCCAAATAAGATACTTCTGGTAACAATGGATGTTGACGCCTCAGTTGTGTGTTGTGTGTAGCAAGGAAGAGTTAGAAGGAAAAGGACTAAGGAATGCAGGGGTGCCATCCCTAAACCTATAGGAGGTGTTTTAGTTTACTTCCTATGGCTGTGATAAAACACTGACAAAACCAACCAGGAGGGAGGAGGGAGTTGTTTGGCTTATACATCCCAGTGACAGTATCACTGAAGGGAGGTAAGACAGGAACTCAATTAGGACAGACACTTGGAGGCAGAACCACAAAGGAACACTGTTTACTGGCTTGATTTCCATTCCTTGTTCAACTTATTTTTTATACAACTCAAGACCACCTGCTCAGGGATGACACCACCCACAGTAGGCTGGGCCCTCCCCTGTCAGTCATTAATCAAGAAAATGACCCTACGGACTCTCCCACAGACCAACCTTACCGAGGCAATTCCTCAATTAAGGTTATTTCTCCCCCAGATGACTCTAGCTTGTATCAAGTTGACGAGGCTAAACAAACTATAGAGTATATAGACATAAGTATCTCCCAAGGCTTTAAGAAGTATGCATATTACTTAATCAAAGCTTGCCTGTTAGAAGCAACAGATATCTTGTTGGTCAAAATGAAGCCTGAACTTTCTTGCTTTGGAGTTCAGACTTTTGTAGTAAGAAACACTTGGGCAGAACTGAACTTCAAGTCCTCTGCTCTGGAAGCCAGCAAGGCTGTGAACCCACGTTGCCCTCCTGACTGGGAGCTGACTCCTTATCCAGTAGGTACTGCTTGTTTGGAAGGAAGGGTGATGTAGGCGTGAGTGTGTGTGTTTGTTTAATGCAGAATTCTTGGCAAACCTATCCAGTAGGCAAGTGCTGACAAGTCAAATTCTCCATTTTTTCCAAGCCAGAAAAAAAATTCTGGTGTCACTTTCCCATCATCACCCTCACAGCCCTACCAGGTGAAGACTTCTCTTTGTCATTGGTGTACCTAGACACTGGAAATAGTGACAGCCTCTGGCTGAATGCTACAGCCCTCAAGGTCAAAAAGGTGTTGATGTTTCTCCTCCACGGTTGCTGTGGAAGGCAAAAGTTTGAGTTACTTTTGTCATTGTTGTGACACAATGGCCTAACAGGAGTGACTTAAGGCCCATCTCTCAGATGATTCTAGATCCCGACAAGTTAACAGTCACGGCAAAGATGAAAACTGGTTGGCAGCCTATACACCATTTAAGGTTTTAGACTTAGGTAGTAGAGGTGGGCCGAGTAAGATCAAGGGATGGATGTTGACAGGGAAATGCAGACCAGCATCATGGGAATCCGTGTGGAAGTGTGTCTAGTGCAGGCATGCTGAGACCAGCATTGTGAGTAGCCCTATAGAAATGTGTCAGGGCCAGGAGTGCAGATGAGCCTCATGGACACCCCTATGATAACCTACCTGGACCAAGAATGTTGAGAGCCCCATAGTAAGGACTACTGTAGAAGTGTGTCTTTATCATAAACATTCCTGTGAAAATGTACCTGGGCCAGGGATGCTTTGTAGGCATTCTTGTGGAAATGTGCCTGGATGAACAGGTAACATGGCTTTGGGAAAAGGCAAAACTCCTCAAGGGTTCATCCTCCGAACTCACAGCACTCAGTGCATGTCCGTGTAAGAGATGACAATGCTGATAGCATGGCTGATTGCAATCAGCCTTGGCAGGAGCTCCCAGAAAAGCTTTGTGGTTTGGAAAGTTGCAGCACCAACCAGGGCACCAGCTGCCTCTCAAACACACCTTACCCTGATGAGCCCAGCTACCACGCCCACACCTGAGCTTCTCCCACTGGAAGTTCAGCTTCCATGTCGTACCTGCTTTGGGCTGGAGTAGGATAATAATACCCTGGGGGTATTGTCTGTGAGTCCCTGGTACCCTGCCTCTTGTGGGAGTATGGACTTCCTGTGCTACCCATGGCCCATGAATATGACCATTATCCATTAGGATCACTTGGCAAGAGGGCTTAAGCTGTTCCTGGGAGTTCAGAGCTTCCGTCGAGAAGGACGTTAGGTTACTCATCAAAGGCAAGACTTCTTAGACAGGCGGATGGGATTGTTTTCACACTACCTCCCCCATCCTGACCTCCACCAGCTAAGAACAAAACAGCAAGAAAAGAATTAAGTGAAGCCGGACATGGTGGCACATGCTTTTAATGCCAGCACTCAGGAGGCAGAGGCAGGTGGATCTCTGAGTTTCAGGACAGCCAGGGCTATGCACCAATGAAAAGTAGGATAACCGTTCTCTCAGACAACAAAGTTAGCAGAGTATCCACTAGGCTATTTCACTGCTTTACCCCGGGGGCTCTAGAGGACTACATTGATCATTGTAAGCCATCGTCCAGACCACTCTCCTCGTCCGTCCCACTCATGTAAGTCTTTGCGACAATCTTCTTTGAATAATAGCCAACACAGAGGCTGGAGAGATGGCCCAGCAATTAAGAGCACTGACTGCACATGGTAGCTCACAGCCATTCATAATTCCAATTCCAGGGAATTCAAAGCCATCTTTTGGCCTCCACAGCCACCAGGCATGTGAATGGTACATAGATATGTATACAGGCCAAATACCCATTCACACAAAAGAAAAAAATTAAAGTAATACTTG